AGTTTTGGAAGTATGGCCATTTTCACTATATTGGTTCTTCCTACCCAGGAACAAGGGATGTCTTTCGATTTTCTTATATCTTCCTCGATCTCCTTTTTCAGAGTGCTTTAGTTTTCAGCGTAGAGGTCTTTTGCTTCCTTTGTTAGGTTGATTCCTAGATATTTCATTTTTTTGGATGCTATTACAAAAGGAATTGTTTCCTGAATTTCTCTCTCAGTGAGTCTGCTATTTGTGTATAAGAAGGCTATTGTTTTTTGAGTGTTGACCTTATACTCAGCTACCCTACTGAATCTGTCAATTAGGTCTAGAAGTCTTTTGGTAGAGTTTTTTGGGTCTTCCATGCAAAATATCATATCATCAGCAAATAATGACACATTAACTTCTTCCTTTCCTATTTTTATTCCTTTTATTTCTTTCTCTTTTCTAGTTGCTGTGGCTAATGTTTCCAGAAGTATGTTGAACAGGAGTGGTGACAGTGGGCATCCTTGTCTTGTTCCTGATTTTAGTGTGAAACTTTTCAGGTTTTGACCATTTAGCATGATGTTGGCTGTTGGCTTTTCATAGATAGCCTTAATCATGTTGAGATAAAGACTTTCTGTTCCAATTTTCTGTAGCGTTTTTATCATGAATGGGTGCTGGATTTTGTCAAATGCCTTTTGTGCATCTATTGAGATGATCATATGGTTTTTGTCCTTGATCTGTTAATATAGTGTATTACATTTATTGATTTGCATATATTGAACCATCCTTGCATCCCTGGGATAAATCCGACTTGGTCAGGGTTTATGATCTTCTTGATGAGCCTTTGTATTCTGTTTGCCAGTATCTTGTTGAGGATTTTTGCATCTATGTTCATTAGGGAGATTGGTCTGTAGTTCTCTTTTTGGGTTGGGTCTTTCCCTGATTTTGGAATCAAAGTAACACTTGCTTCCAGGAAAGAATTTGGAAGCCTTTCTTCCCTTTCAATTTCCTTGATGAGTTTAAAGAATAATGGCAATAGTTCTTCTTTAAATGTCTTGTAGAATTCGCCAGTGAAGCCATCTGGACCTGGGCTTTTCTTTGTTGGTAAATTTTTTATTATGTTTCCAATTTCACTCATCATAATTGGAGTGTTTAGAATTTCTATATCTTCTTCACTTAACTTTGGCAATTCATATGTATCAAGGAATCTGTCCATTTCTTCTGTGTTTTCCATTTTATTAGAGTACAGGTCCTTGAAGTAGGTATTGATGATCCTCTGGATTTCTGCTGGATCTGTTGTGGCTTCACCTTTTTCATTCTTAATTGCATGGATTTGAGCCCTTTCTTTCCTTTTTCTGATAAGGTTGGCTAAAGGTTTATCAATTTTATTTATTCTTTTGAGAAACCAATGCTTTGTTTCATTGATTTTTTTTGTATTGTTCTCTTAGTCTCCATTGCATTGATTTCTGCTCTGACATTTATAATTTCCTTTCTTGTATGAGTTTTGGGTTTGTTATGCTCTTCCTTTTCTAGGAGCTTGAGGTTCTCTATTAGGTTGTTTATTTGAGTTCTTTCTGTTTTCCTAATATGGGCATTCACTGCGATGAATTTCCCTCATAGACCTGCTTTCATTGTGTCCCATAGATTCCTGTATGTTGTACTGGCATTATCATTTTCTTGTAGAAACTGTCTAATTTCTTCTTTAATTTCCTCTGTGACCCATTGGTTGTTTAGGAGCATGTTATTCAATTTCCATG